AAAAGGTTTTTTTTTTGTGGGGGGGAGATAAGCCACCAGAAACGACGAGTCGACACACCGGCAGCGTTAGATTCAGCCAGCTATGCAAGAAAGACACATTGGAACATGCCGACTCGCTGCTGCTACACCTTCTTCTACTTTCCGGTGTTATCGGCGATCGTAATTGAAACCAGTCATTTAATGAAAGCGTCTCTGTTGAGGCCATGAACTTCGTCGTGCTGCGCGGGTAGTTTGCGATTGCACTGATGCGAGCCAGCGCAGTTGCCGCCATGTTCACTTTGCGGCTGATTGTTTACATCACATGGTTTGAGCTAAGCCATACCATTGCGTTGGTTGCGTGCGGCGAAGCAGAAAGGTGATATGCTACCATATGGCAGAAAAACTGCTGACCTTGAACACTTTTTTTTTTTTTTTTTGAATATGTGGGTTCTCCCGGGTGATCGCACGCGCACGCGCGGACAAGTAGTGGCTTCTTGCGACGATCACTGTAACGACCGAGCGCGCCATGTTCAAATCAGCCAATGGCTGATTTGAACTACGAGTTGTATTTGGGCTTACTCTGTAATTTGTCGAGAGAAGAGAAAGCAATTTTTAGCTGACTGATAATTTATTCTGAATTCCAGGCCGCATGCTGCATTATAAAATTTGGCTCGTGTGTTGTCGCGAGCCTCTACTACCGATCGGAAGCGTTTTCTGACCATGCTCAAAAAGTGTTGCAGGGCCCCTTTAAAAGGACCAACAACCATTTTTATGGTCACATCTTTTTCTTGTGGAATGAGAAGCTTACCGGTCGGTCAGTGTAATAGCAAAATTTTAAAGTGGAAAACGCCGCGAAACATTTGTAAACGGAGCTTTTCTATCAGCAGCGAATATGAAGTAGTGTACTTGAATGTATCTTACACGCAAATAAGTTCGTTATATCAAATAATTTGTTATAAAGGTATATTCCTAAGATTATATCTATTGCTAGACTACTTTGCATTTACTTCGTTACAACTGATACTTTATTATATCCGGGTTTGTTAGATCAAGGTTTCAGTGCAAATAGTTTAGTATTGAACAAGCTGACTGCTGCCTTTGTGCACACCGCGACCTCGTGACATCTACCAGAGGTGCTGCTTCATCTATGTTGTGGATGTCTACACAACACCGTGATCCAAGTCCACGTCGCGAACAAGGAGACCGGACCGATATCTTTGATCATTGATCTGGATATACCTAACTATAAGAGCAAGACGACAAAGCAAGTCTTGCCACAATGACAGCACCTTGGCAAACCTACCTCAATGCTGCTTCATTAGCTCAGGGAGTGGCTGCAATCCGGTAGGTCATCATCTGAAGACTATCATCAGAAAGCTGCATGCTGAATAGCAACGGGTTAGCGAATACTCTAACGGCACGGCCATTGAGCCCACTATTGTAAAATTGTAGGTACGATGCGATTATTAGGAGTAATCAGTACCTTCCAATTCCAAGGCTGTATATAAAGATTTGTCTGTGGACAAAGGGGCTGCTTGTTCTTTTTGGCTGGCCACTATAAATATCATAAGTCGTTAGTGAGGGAAAGACACATCGTCAGTAGCTGTTTATGTAGACGCAACCACTCTGGTCATACACAACTCGCTCTGGCCGTGTTTTCTTGGCGATGAAGTAGGAATGCTCGAGCGGTGGTGGCGTAACGTTAGAAGTGCCCATACTTTTCACTAACATACGTAGTCTTTATTCAAGATGAGACAGCCGAAATTCTCTCATTAATGATTGCGATGCTGACATTATTGTACTTACTGAGACCTGGCTCTCCGAGAAAATAACTACCTCTGAATTGTTTCATTGCAACAAAAAATTCATTGTCTTTCGCAACGACCGTCAACAAAGAATTGGTGGAGGTGTACTAATTGTGGTTAACAATACATTTGAGTGTTTTTCGCTGTCGCTTACTTGCAATTTAGAAATTATATGGTGCTGTATAAAAATTTCCTTCAGAAAGCTAATTTCCAGGGCAAGTTATCGCCCGCCTGGGTCCTGCGAAAACATTCATGACTGTCTCAATCAAATTTCAGTATAATTCCCCTGTGCACCAATCTTTTTCCTCGGCGATTTCAATTTTCCTTCTTTCACCTTGGCCAACTTTAATTCTGTTTCTAAGCCCGGGTCAACTGACGCTGCTTCTTTTCTTAATGTTTGCTCAGATTTCACGCTGTGTCAGATTGTTCAGCATCCCATACATGTAACAGCGTCGTCTTCTTTGCTTGATCTAATCCTCACGTCATCACCTCATATTGCATCACCAGTAACACACATTCCTGGCCTCAGTGATCATGATGCATTGCATTTCACCATATCTGTTCCTTCTACCCGTGCTAGCAATTGCACTAAGTATATCAGTGATTACAACAAGGGTAAGTTTGGTGCTACAAACGGTGACCTTTCATCTTTTCTAGACACTTTCTTGCTAACCTGCAATGAGCTACCGATTAAAAAAATTTGAACCTCTTTCAAAACAAGTCATGTATCTGATAAAAAAATACATTCCACTAAAAAGAGTACTGCAATCCTCTAACTCTCCTTGGTATGACAAGTTTCTTAAGCGCTTATCTAATAAAAACAGCGGTTTTTTCGCACAGCGAAAAAATGCCCAAATGCCACTCGATGGGCAGCGTACAAGCACGAAGCTAAAGTTTATTCTAACGCCCTCAAGAATGCCAAATTTGTCTTTTTTGATCAGACCCTTCCGTCAATCCTTCAGACCAATCGTAAGCTCTTTTGGAATGTTGTAAAGAGTAAAAACAATACCATTATAACCCTTGTTAACAGCTCCGGTGAGCAAGCTCCTAATCACCACTGTGCAACACAACTTAACGAAACTTTTACCCGCTCATTCAACAATTCGTTAATTTCTGGTGAGCCTTTCCCTCCCCAACCCAATTTTCTTCCCATGGCTTTTGTTGTTATTGACTATGCTAGAATTAGAAGTAATATTAAGAGACTTAAGCGGTCATCTTCCTGTGGCACTGATGGAATCACTTTAAAATTTCTTGAAAGTACTTTAGAATACAGTTCAATAATACTGCAGTGCATCTTCAACAAATCTTTTAACGATGGGTGCTTATCTACTGATTGGAAAACAGGCAAAGTAGTTCCGCTTCACAAATCAGGAGACACGCAAAACCCATGTAACTGCCGGCCAATCTCACTCACATCTGTGCCATGCAAAATTCTTGAACATATCATTAGTACGCACCTGGTTAACTTTCTTGAATCGAATAATTTTTTCCATCCATCTCAGCATGAATTTCAAAAACATTATTCGTGTGAAACGCAGCTTCTGACCTTCACTATCGATTTGCACTCATTTCTCGACTCCGGATTCGAAACCGACTGTGTGTTTTTAGACCTTGCTAAAGCTTTCGACACGGTTAACCATCAAATTTTAATACTAAAGCTTAGTCGGCTAAACATCGATACTGAAGTCTTCAGGTGAATTATTGTGTTCCTAACTAACCGAACTCGGTATGTGCTCGCTAATGAAACAAACTCACCTTCAACTCACGTCAGTTCTGGTGTGCCTCATGTTTCTGTATTAGCACCATTGCTCTTCCTAATCTACATCACTGACCTTCCTAGTAATATATCCAGTTCTATCTGTCTTTTCGCAGATGATTGTGTTGTGTACCGCAAGCATACTACTAACTCAGATATTGCTGCACTACAGACTGATCTTGATAATATCACTTCTTGGTGTGCGCTCTGGCATATGAATCTGAACATTTCCAAATGTAAATCAATGAGAATTTCGCGCAACCAATCGTCCTGTCCAAACTATTTCCTTAACAATGCTCCCTTTGACTCTGTAGTTTCATAGAAATACCTTGGTATACATATTTCTAATAATCTTTCCTAGAAACAGCATATCGAGTACATAGTTTCAAAACCGAACCGTATGCTTGGATATCTAAAATGAAACCCACCTTGCTCTGTCTTCACTCAGAAAACAATTGTATTTCACTTACGTTCGATCTAACCTAGAATACGCATCTTCTGTTTGGGACCCCGGTTTCGTAACCCTAATAAATAGTTTAGAAAGTGTTCAAAACCGCTCAGTTCGCTTTATTATTTCCGACTACCGCCGCACAGCAAGCGTTACTAACATGAAGGCCACACTTCACATTCCCTCTCTTGCTTCTCGCAGAAAGCTTTCTCGACTATGCCTCTTTCATAAATATATTATCCCAATCATCTGCTTCGATCCCGTTTCATGGCATCCCCTTCCTATACTTCTGCTTGTGCTGACCACCATCACAAAGTTCGCATTCCATTTCAGCGTACCACAACATACAGTAACTCATTTCTTCCAAAGATGTGCGCTGATTGGAATCACCTGCCTGCCTCATTGGTGACTATCGCAGACACTCATCTTTTTCGCGGTGCACTTACCAATCTTACCTAGAACGTACACCCCTACGCCTTACCTGCTTATCTTTTTTCCTTTATGCTGGTGATATGAAGGTGTGTGTGCTAAAGTCAACTCTGAATTTTTCCACTGCGATCTACTTTTGAGTTCTTGCCTATGTTCACATTATATTCGTATTGTTTATTCGTATTGCTTCTTAGCAGTGTGTTTTTCAGTTGTTTTCACCTTATACTTGGTATTGTTGTTAGCAGTGTGTTTTTCAGTTTTTGATCAGATTCACCTTATACTTGTTATCGTATCATAACATGCATGTCTTGGCTCATGCCTTTTTGCTTTTGATTTATTTCTTTGAGTTCCCCGTTTTTTACGTGCCTTATAATCCACTATCGTTGTAGCCCCTCCCCTCTGTAATGTTTCTTGTAAGCCCTGAGGGTAATAAATAAATAAATAAACTGTGGCCCAGACGTGTGAGCTATGTGACGAAGAGCCACATTGTACTAGTGTCTTCTGTAAATATATGTGCTTGAAACACGAGATAAGGTGTCCTTCCAAAGAATTAGAAGAATGCCTGTACTATCCTTCTTGACAGGAGAATGGGCGGCTGGAACTGGAACCTGGTGACCTGGTTGAGGTTCTGGATGGCAGGCCCGAGCACCACTGGTGGCGAGGACAAAACCAACGCACCTTCCATGTCGGCCAGTTCCCCCGCAGTGCCTGCGAGTCCCTGTCGCGTGTCAGCCCCCGGGACATCAGCCGACCACTGCGGAACAGGTCTGGCTCTGTTCAAGTGCATTTAAAACATTAAAAGACTCTCAGTGAACTGGACGAGTGAAATTCTGAAATAGAAGTTTAGGCTTAACTTTCTTCTCATAATCTCTTATTGCAGCTTAGGGAAGAGATAATTCTGAAAGAATGGTTTATCAGTGTTAACATTCTTTATTTATAAATTCAACAATCTCTGCTTGGGTGGGAAAATGGGCAATACACGATTTGGCTTAATGAAGTTCGTGGAGCAAATATAGTAGATGCACTCCGCTTCCACTAGACTGAAAACAGGAAGTGGTGTTGAAGTTCTGCTAAAAAGAGAGGAAATGTAGCTGTTTGTATACATGCTCATATAAATGCAGCTCGATCTATGCTTATAGCGCTGAGCAGGTCAGTGTTTTCTGACTCTTCCTCCACATGGAAGACTGGTTATAATGCAGTTGCTGAAAAATCTAACATACGTAGTTGTGTGTGTGCTTATAAGTGAAGGTTCGAGAGAGAGAGAGTGTTACAAAAGAAGAGAAAAGGGAGTGAGGAAGGCGATAAGAGAAGTGCTGCTGGGGATTTTGCACACTTTGGTCCTTTTGAGTAAGTGCTTGAGTGCAATCTCATCAACTGATGAACTCCTTCTATTGGGAAAGCTTGCCACCACCGCTTCCCAGTCCACAAGCTGGGCATAATGAGAATTGGCTGCCATTGTGGCACTGGCTACAGCTACGTTGCAGTGTGGTACGGAATCAAGAAACGTATTTGTGTTCGTAGTGCTTTTAAAAAAGAGGGCATGTGTTCAATGAAAGCTGTCAGCGAAAGTGAAAGAGGCATGTGTGACACTCGTACGATGTTTTGTCATTCGACTGCAATGTTCTGGACATCTTGTGCTCACGTAAGAAATAGAACGAAGTATTGTACTGTGCATGGAATTTCCGTTGCCATTCTACACAAGTTTCTCTGCAATGTTCTTATTGAGGAGTTTCAAAGGAAAGTTAGTGACATTCCTTTGTAGCACTTTCGTTTGTGAGCTTTCGTCTTCTCCATTCATTCTCAACATTAAATAGGTAGTACAGTTAAACCTGCTTATAACGAACCTTTATGTAACTAATTCCTGCATATAACGAAGTTTTTCTATTCCCCGCCGTTGCTCCATAGAAGCACATGTATTTGCAACCTCTATGTAACAAAGTAACAGTGGGAGACAACCTTGATGTAATGAATTTTCCCCACGAACAATTTAGGAATATTGCTCCGCATTTTGGCGTTTTGGTGTGAGTATGCATCTTGTCGGCTTGCTGCCCTGCCGTCAACGAAGCACAAAGCGGCGGCAGCGCTCACGGTGCGCCAAGCAGGAGTGAGCACTCGTTAGTGCCTTTCTTCATTCTTTCTCTATGTGCGCGGGTGAACGCGAGGCGGGCAGGCGGGCCTGCACTCCACAAGCCGCCGTTTTCACTGCTGTGGGCGCATGCGCAATTTTGCCCTGCCCCACTTTAAACCAAAATAAAAAAAAAAAGAAAAACTACTTTTGTGTGTTGGCATTGCCACGCTTTTAGTTGGCGTCACATACGTGGGGCCACACTGCATATGGAGGCTGCTTTACCAAGTGGGTTTCCGCGGTATCCGTGTCTGTGTCCGTGTCGTTCGCTCTTCGTTTTCGGAGCCGTGCATGCGTGCATAGTTTCACTGCGGGGGCATAGTGTGGTCCCCCACGACATTCAGCTTTGATTTTTTTTATTGCGATAGCAATTATACGGACAATTTCAGCTGGTTTTTTGCCGCCGCTGCCGTCATTCACCGTATATATATATATATATATATATATATATATATATATATATATATATATATATATATATATATATATATATATATATATATTTATTTATTTATTTATTTATTTATTTATTTAATGAGATCTAACAGACAGTAATGCCAAGGAATGTACAGGGGAAGTTATTAGAACCAATGGAATGTAAATCAGAAGAAAGAAAAGTGGATGAAAAAATAACCAGCCGTGAGCAGGAATCGAACCTACGACCTTCGAATAACGCGTTCGATGCTCTAACCACTGAGCTACCACAGCGGCTTTCCCCCCATCCACTTTTTTGGGTTTATATGTGAATTTAGAAGTAGGAATGACAGTCAGCGCCATCTATAAGCCAAACGACGAGTGTGAAAACACTCTTATGCGCATGTTTGGCGTCACGTAGCACGTGAACTTATTATGAGCGGGCAGCTGATCAATTGTCCCTCTTATACAACCTAAACACACCAAGTCTGCCAGTACGAGACCCTCGTTCAATGAAATAAGTGAAAGAAGTGTATACCTAGGGGCTCGTTTTTCGTGTTTCAACACAATAATAATGAGATCTAACAGACAGTAATGTAGGTCCGATTCCTGCTCATGGCTGGTTATTTTTTCATCCACTTTTCTTTCTTCTTATTTACATTCCATTGGTTCTAATAACCTCCCCTGTACATTCCTTGGCATTACTGTCTGTTAGATCATTGTTGATCATTGTTGCTTTAGGCAGCATTCATCGGAGTTATGCGACATCGTGTTCAAAAGATACTATTTGTTAGTTTCACTTAGGCTCTTAGCAATGAATGCAATAGCAACAGTTTGTTTGCATTGAGAGTAAAAGATATAAGGGTATAACAGCCATTTTTAATGCCTGCTGAATTAGCACGAGTGGCAGTGATCACACCCAAAGTTCATGGCGATGGCAAAGATTGGTCGAAAATATCCTTGTAATTGCTATCGCAATAAAAACAACACGGCTCTCGCCTTTTATTTGTCTTAGGCATATGCATAAGGTACCCTGTGAGATTCTCTTTCCTTTATGCACTGCTTTCCAAAACACTACAGGGGGATTTTAGAGTACAGACAAAATGCCCTAGACACATAAAACATCGCTGCAAATGGAAAACGAAGTTTATTAAGTCGTGTAGTTTCAGCACAGAGAGATTAGTGCCGGAAGAGGTTGACTTTATCAGACTAGCTAAATGACGTCACGTTAAGCCTAGCAGCATAATCAGTTGTGGAGAAAAATAACCTTTCTATATCTTTGGAGTCGTCTAAGGGAAATGCAATTGCGACTGTGCGTGTCTGTAGTGTTGTACGTCACAGAGTTTGTCTATCATATATATTGATAACCACATTAGTCTATAGAATGTTATTTCATGAAGTACAATTTTATTAAAGCAGTATTCTGTTCATTTGCTATGAAAATATTCACTGAACAAGTTATTTTCAGAATTGCCAACATAATGATGCCATTATTCTTCCATCATCAGTTAAAATAGGGGGTGCTCCTAAGATGACTGGCTTCATGAAATTTTAAACTAATGGAAATATTTCTTGCTCTTCACAAGACACAAGAGCCCCAAAATAATTATTCATACCCTTGAATGTAAAATAAACTTGCTTCTGCTCCAGGATTTGAAGTTAAGCGCTCCAGATTGCTCCAAGATGGAAAGTTTTGCTGTTCCAAAGTGCTCCAAAATGAAAATTCTTGCTGGTCCAGTGCTCTAAAATGAAAATATTGCTGCTCTAATTTGCTTCAAAATAGAAAGGTTTACTGCTCTAAACTGCTACAAAATGAAAATTTCTCTGCTTCGAAAATTGCTCAAAATCAGAAGACCTCAGTAAGATCACTGCACAACAGCATTGATAATGTTTTTTAGGTAGTAGGCTGGCATTCGCTATGCTATTTTTCGTCATTCTTCTGAGAAGTGTGGTATCAGCTAAACACTTGCAAGTAATCTTGTGCCAATTGTTCATGCGACTGATGACGATTAGGAATTATGGCTGAAGTAGGTATGCGCCATGACGATTAGGAATCATGGCTGAAGTAGGTATGCACCACAGTTAATAGGTGAACAAGAACAAGATTTTGTAATGAGTTGGAGCATTGGATGACCCACTCGTTACGCCATACGCATTGTGCGATGACTGGTTGTTCTTTTGCTGTTTTAAAACGCTCTATAAGTCGTATTAACACGATTGCTTTCCCGACATCAAGCCTGCCCAAGGCAAGATTGTCAACAAGTCCCAAGCACCGGTGTGGCTCAGTGGTAAAATACTGGGTTGGCACCCAGTGGGCCCGGGTTCGAGCCCCACTGTGTCATTGGTGCTGCTAGGTTTCTTTAAAATTTTGTGCGATGTGATTATGGACACCGGCGGCGGTGGTGGCAGCGGCGGGCAACTGTGCATGACCTGAGTTGTGATCTCATAACAGCTTTTGCTGTAAAAAAAAAAAAAGGCCGACACTCGGCGCCCAGCTTGTCACGATGCACTGATGCGCGCTTATCTGCCATCACGCCCACTTCGCTTTGCGAATTGGGGGGGGGTACATGTTTGTGTGCACGCATTGTTATCCTGTGGTGGTGGGAATCGCACGTTTTCGACTTTTACTGAAACGATTGCATTTAGTTGCCGGGCGCATAAAGATGACTTCGCCCGCTGGACAGGTGCAGTTTGTGGAAAGAGTGCGCTTTTCAAACACAGCGAAGTAACAACTGGGGCACTTGTAAGTTCGCACTCATATCTTTACCTGTGATGATATTTCGTGCCTCGTTTTTCTTTAAACAGCACGTTAAGTGTCGAGCGCTAAACATTGTTAGTTTGCTCTCGTCCTCTGTATGTTGTTTTTGTGTGTCATTTGTGCATGAGCAGTGGGCTGCACGTTTCGATCTGCTCACCGTTCAGGGTTACATTTGCAAGTTGTTGCTATCGCATTCATTACTTTGCCCTTGCGGCGAAACTGCGACTTTTCTCAATTTCCAAGAACTGTGTCGTTACTACCAAGGGCATATTAGATTAGGCAATGATAGAAACTTTTTTGAGACCTCGATGACGACAAATCTTCAAATGTCGATTCGTCACGCGCTTCCGTCTTGCGCCGCGCAGCGAGTTCGCAGGCTGGTAGCTTTCGTGATTAGCAATGCCATGCAATGAAGGTGATAGCAAAAATAGTAATGTTATAAATAAGGCTGGCAGGCAAATTTTTTGG